ATTTTTAAGTATTCCATACTGTGCTATACGTTAGTGTTAAGCTTAGCCCGCACGACACGTAGTGAATATGAAATGTATCTATATTATGGATTATCTAAGAATTTTATTAAAGAGCCGCATGTAATACCTGTCTGCGTAGAAAAAAATTTTTAATCAGAAACAAATTCCCCGAGGCAGATCATGCACAATGGGTGGTGCATTTGAGAGTTAGAGATGACTGGTTTTTGGTTGTGATTTGGGCTATCATATGCGAAGTTTGGGAGATTTGCAGGCATACATCTCTGGAGAAAGTAAGCATGGCAGAGAAATAATCGCCGTTGAGAAGTACGTAATCCGAGCATCGTTCACGAGGTCAGTAATCGACTGCGCAGCAAATGGAGCTCTAGTCTGAAGATATTGAACCAAGTACATCATTCTGAGCCAGGGATAAGCTCAGTTAGGAAAAAACAGCATAGCAAGTAGAAATTAGTCGAGATGTTATATTGCATTGATAGGAAGAAGTATAAATTCCCCAAACTGATGTTAGGTCCGATAAAGTTGGGCAATTACAGTCAGTGTGCTCGGACGAAAGGAAACACAGAGCATGTAAAGCAGCAGATATAGTTGTAATGAAGCATGTCAGATTAGTTGAACAAATAGCAATGTAGGTGTACGAACAGTGCAAAGTGGGTGGTGTTAACGAGTCAGCAGTGAATTTCAGATAGGTTGGATCCATATCCGTTCGCGTTGATGATTTATCTAGATTACCTAATTTTGAATTTATTTTACGTTTGTAAAAAGACAACAGTGTTGTAATAAAAATCCAGTAAAAACTAGTAAACGAGCAAGCATCAGATAACAATTCTAAGAATATAATATTTCAGATACGAAAGCCTGAGCTTAATGTTACTTTTAACGTGTCTTTAGTCAATCTATCATCCTCTTCAACTTTGTCCTATTAAATAATTACTCTCAGGTATCCTGAATATTCCACCATGTTCACATTTCTACCTTTCTCAAAAACAAATCTCCTTGAATGTTCCAATCTTCAACATCTACAGATGGTACATTTTCTTCTCATTATGAGTTAATACTTGCTCGATCTCATTCTCATGTACGTAGTCCAATATCTTACATCCTATTCTATAATTTTTCTTACATTGCCTTCTAAATAATGTGGAACACATTTTAATAATTTGTATACCATCATTACATTTTGAATATTGTTTTTTCATGATCTCCATGAAGTAGGACGTAAGTGTATTCCTATCGATCAATTCAACGTGCCTATCGTTGTGTCGTCCATGTCCGTGTGGTCCCTATCGTCTGTGTCTCCTATGTCGTGTCGTCCTATCGTCTGTGTTCTCTATGCGTCTGGTGTCTTTCCTTTCGTCTGGTGGTCGCAGCGTCCGTGGATATCGCTGCTTCTTATCTAATCGTCTGTGTTCACTACTTCTGTGTTTCTTTCTCGTCTGTGTGTTTTTCTCGTCTGGTGTCGTTGTCTCGTCTGTGTCGTTTTCTCGTCTGTTGATCGTTTCTCGTCTGTGTCGTTTGTCTCGTCTGTGTCGTTTTCCGTCTGGATCGTTTTCTCGTCTGAGTTCGTCTGGGTCTCCTATCCGTTTGGCGTTTTCTTGTCTGGGTCGTTTCTCGCCTGGGGTCGTTTATTTCGTCGGGTATTTTCTTCGTCGGTCGTTTTCTCGTTCGGGTGTTTCTCGTCGGGTCGTTGCTCGGTCGGGGTCGTTCGCTCGCGGGTGTCGCTCGTCGTCGGTTTCTGTCGTCGGGGTCGTTTCGCTCGTCGAGGGTCGTTTCGCTCTCGGGAATTCCTCGTCTGGCTGCAATCAGTCGCCGTTGTAACACCATGAAAAAAATATCAAGCCACGGCAATGGATGCCGGGCGATTATTGGCGCTTCGGGGAAGAGAGCGCCGGGCTGAACATTGCAACCTAGGGAGGGGGCCGTGCTCGGTAGTGGCCACTAGTGAACCCCGCAACCACTTGCAGCAAACCGGGGTGGGGAACCGCGTAGACGAGGCTACGCGTGAAACGCGTTTTCGGGAACAGCGAGATGACGGAGTTCGGGTCATGCCGGCTGCTGTGAGGTAATAGAAGAACAGAACCCGCGCCGTTATCTCCTGTTCTATTTTGGGCGCTTCAGTAGGAAGTCGTGTGAGTACATGCGCGGCGCTGCTTTTAATGTATACGGCTATGAGGATAGGGAACTGGAGCGGTATACTCGCGACATCTCGCTTGTATGCTGACATAGGCTACTGGTGCATCACACGAATAAGATATCTAATTTAGCGCAGCTGGTGTGAGCCAGAAACATTCCTTAAACGGGTAATTTGTTATTGATTATTGTGTACATAGTATTCCGGTTTGGGCATTTTTTTCAAATAAATGTCTATGGAGGACGGTGGTTGGCTTTAGTGGTGGTGGTGGTGGTGGTGGTGGGGTGTTGGGGTCGCAGCCGCTTTCCCTCTTCTCAATCCTCTTAAAGAAGTTTGTATGGCCGAGCTAGTGTCTTCAGATCGCCTCGTAGGCTTCGCGAGTGACGTGTTGCTCACCTCTTCATTTCCCGTGATTGGCGGTTTCTTCCACCCTATCGCGGTGTCGTTGACGGACCCCCGCGTCTTGCCGAATTCTGGGAATCTCGAACGTCATTCACGTTCCGAGAAAAGGGCGCAGCGGTGATGCGTCGCTTGAAGCGAACCGGCCTCTGCATTTTCCCATGAGTCACCGGAAGCCTCCTGGCGTGGGTTGTGTCGAGACAAAAGGGGTGGATTCCTCAGCGTCCCAGATCCGCTGAAACCTTCCGTGACAGCATTACACTCAATATAATTTTATAAAATACTCGTCGCCACCTGACGCGTGCGACCGCCCCATTACACTACACACCGACTTCACCCTGGTTCGCGACCCGGCCGAACAGGCGTTTTGAAAGACACCCTGCGTGTTCCACGGTGCATTGTCTGAAACCAACTTACTCACCCTGGACACGGTGACGTCATCCAGTCGTGACGTCACAGTAACGGTATATGTTTCGAAACCACCCTACTCACCCTGGACATGGTGACGTCATCCAGTCGTGACGTCACAGTAACGGGTCCGACACCCCTCTCCACCACGCACAACCACGTTACTTTGGTATTCCAACCTTTTCCCTGACGAAGCCGTCACGACGCCGTCCTAACGACGTCTTGAGGGCTTGACGCCCTTGTGACGTGGTCATGACGTCCTGGTGACTTCCAGTCGTGATGCAGCCGTGACGTCTTGGTCATATCTTCAAAACGTGCGCATCCATGGCGTAGTAATGACGTCACGGTTCCTCTGACGTGCAGATGATGCCATGGTGACGTCTTCTCGTCATGACGTCCTCGTGGCGAAGCCGAGACATTAATGTGGTCCGGCCACAGCTCTCTGACCTGGTCACGACGTCATCCAGTCGTGAAATCACAGTAACGCTGCATGGTTCGAAACCATCTTATCCTGGACATGGTGACGTCATCCATTCGTGACGTTACAGAAACGGTGCTTGGACCTTTTTCAGTGCGATAATCTGTGAATAAACTGAACTAATACCAATGTACCTTGTGTGAGAGCTTCCTTTAAAGGGCTGGAGTGCTGTAGGCTATGATTTATAAGCATAAAACTTAAAATATTTACAAAATAATTAGTTAACTGGACATTTTTGCGTGGCTTTACATCACCGATTCAAGAGTACATGAATGTCAATAGTTTAGCTACGTGCTACAAGATGTCTGAGATCTACTACGATTTCATCAATGCAGAGAATTGCGTATTTAGAGACTGTTTATTTCCACTGTCAGTGTCTAATCCGTAATAATTCTGGCTTTTTCTCTCCCGCATTTATAGAACTAATTTCCATATAAATTTTAATTGCGTAAAGGCGTGAGTGCATTAAGTGTATAACAGACAAAATGTTTGGAAGGGAATATTGTCTGAAGGACGTAGTTAATATCGTCGTAAAAAGATATGAATGTTCGCATGTTCAGTTGTAGTAAATTAAGCATAATTATTATGTATTTGCACGTTGGACGAGCGACAGAGTGAGTGAAAACATATTGCCACTCTAAATTTAGGATTTACCTATGAATGATTTACGTGTTTTACTGAAACTGGCAGATGTAACAGAATTGGCCACAGATGGATGCATTTTTCAACAGAAGTGACTTACTATAGTTGAGAGTGATATCGTACCTATGTGTGTTGGAAGAGTGATTAAATTGTTGAAAGTTATGCAAGAATACTATTTATGGTAAAATAGCAGTGTAATTAACGTAAAACCGTGCTGGTAAAATGGATATTTGGAGGATTTGAATGTGTGACAATTCTGGGTTTTAAGGTTATATTAGACCATAGAACAAGGGTTGTCAAGCCGAGATCCACTGTAATATCGGATTTTTGGAAATATAATTATCTAAGTAGTTTATGGCTTCTTTCCGTCAGTAACTATATATTAATAATCCTAAAGCTAGTACTCGAATTTAATTAAAATTACTTTATTTTTAAACCTTGGTTGACGCGGCACCATCAATTTCAATACGTGATAATTGCAATACCTTTATAAATAAGTGAGAAAAATATTAAAAGAGTAAGTTTTATATTTTTGGTTGTTAAAATAAATTTTTATAATTGGTTGAAAGTTTTGGTGTAGTATATAAAATTCAACAAAAAATGTGCGTGAGTACACACATTTCATTGTTTGTTTATATTTGTGTATTATTTTAGCTTTAAAAGTAAAAGATGTTTGAGGACGGGAACACAAATAGTAATAAAATTTGAATATTTTTTAGTGATAAAGTAATTTTGGTGAGTACAACAGACCGGATATCTTCAGATAGCAAGGCAGAGGCGAGGTAGGGCGGAGGGGATATGGAATAGATAAATGGGAATAATATAATAGATAAAAAAGACCCCGGCAACGCAGGGTTTATCGAATATTTTCTATTATTCAATGATTCGGATCCTCTGGAAGATGTGAAGGAACACAATAAACAACTTTGTAAACACTCATTTCCCTTTATTTACATATCGTTTTACAGAAGCAAAGGCTCTGAGCGCCTTCTTAATTATTTTAATACAGATTTTTTCAAGAATGATAATATTACGATTCTAATGAAGAAAACGAATTTAGAATCTGTCACATTGTGCCTATGTATACATCTGAGGTATCTTCACAGAACTGCTTTTCTCCCACTTTCTCTCTTGTCTTGCTCTTCCTTTCTAACAGACATTCTCAAATATATACATTTGAACTCCCATATGGCATAGGTCAAACGTTTCAGTGACACAAGATAGTAATTAACAAGTACATATGACTATGCAGGTCATACTGCACACGAAAGGAGAACTGACACTGATTATTTTCCTTAGTGAAGGGTAAATTAAAATTTCAATCTAAATTAGCGCCTCGTTGAATTGTTTTGTTTCATTAACTTCGCGTGACTGAAATATAAAAGAGAAACTCGATAAAGAATAGATACGGCTTACGTAGTATTATACCGGAAAATGAAGTAGCTTACAAACGAAGGAATGTGATAAAAATGAAATAAGGAAAAAATACTCTGAAGGAAAAAGGGCGAAATGAATTATGCTTAACCAAAATGAGATCACCTGTTAAATTTTGAACATAAAAGAATCTGAAATACCTTGGCTCACAGATTCATAAAGGAATCTGGAAACACAATTTCATCCCATTTTTTATGAGAGATTCAGAAGTTCGCAGGTGTGATAAATATTTTATTTCTACGAGAGATTTATTGAACCATATAGCGATAAATTAAGTCCAGGGTGCTGACAATAAGTAATATTCATTTACAGTTTTGTTATCACAAATATCACAAATACGAGCGATGAAATGCAGATTTCATCATGACTTGAACTAACAAAGTTATTTTAATTTTTTCAAAATATCTTGCATTTTGGTTATCTGGAAAACATTTTTGTTTATCATTGTATTTGGAGAGAGAAACGGATTCCCATGACAAATATCGACATAATATACAAAGTAATTTTGTATGCGTTTTTCAAAGGTCTCTTGTTTCCTGTAAATGCGCCATATTCGACTAGATTCCACTACAAATTAGTGCAAGTCACGTAAATACCTACTCCATCGAAATACTGTATATAACATCGTACCAACTGTGCCTTCGGAAGTAGAAACAGCACAGCTGGAAATTCTTGGTTCCTCGGGGAACGCACGCACGTGCATTCATGCGTACATACTCGCGTACGGTATATTTGCGGTGAAATGGCGGCGAAAAGTCAGCGGGGATCCTAAAGCTGTTAATACGGTCGAAGAAAATTTCCCCTTGATAGCTAGGCCCCTGAGTTCATCGTGAGAAGTGGCGGGGTTCTCCTCACGTTTATACAAACACGCACTCACGTTTATACAAATGCACACTCGTACATGCATATGCGTGCGCACACATATCGGCACACATTTACTCAAAAACTTGATGCTAGGATGTTGCTGTTCAGAAACCGGCCACAACCCCGAGGCGCCGGAAATCACTGTTGGCGAAAATCTGCTGATATGGTGCACTGCGATTCACAGCTATGGTGGAGACGAAGGAACTGCCCACCTCGTATGGCTCCATCACGTGTCCGAAGGACTGGAGACTGCGAATGACGTTCTGCAGGAACAGTGCATCCATACCGGGTGGAAATGGAACAGATAAAAAATGAAAATAAACCAATAAAAGCATAAGGAAAATAAAATAAAATAAATAAAGAAGAAACAGATAAAACATACGTAAACACAAATCAATAAGTAAAAAAATAAACAAAATATGTCTAAACAAGGAGGAAAGATAAAAACCAAATATATTTCAAGTACTCAAATAAGAACTATAGAGGTGCTAAACTCGGTGGCTCGTTAGGATGATCGCCTACCACGGCGCAAATCCGAGTTCGATTCCCGTCCGGGCAGAATTATAACTGTGCGTTTTTCTTACAAGTGTCCCAGAATATATTGCTGTGAGGGAATGTAAAAGGCCCCCCTAAGGTTGAACCAGAATACACTGTGGAGGGATGTCTGCGAGCTACCCTCGCGAACCTGTTATCCCCCGTCCGAGAGGCTGCGATATCGCTGGTCGGCACGCAAGATTACGCGGAAAGTACTTGAATTACCCTTATGTGACAAAGTTCATTAAGGGAAAAATCTCTATCATAATTGTAGTCGCAGGAAGACGGCGAAAAAATTGCAACTTACGTAATTACAGAAAAATTAGTTTTCAACGGAAATTCGACATGCAACATTCTGTTAAACGTCCTTCACTGTATTTCAACGACAAAATTTAACCAAAAGCAATGGAACCTTTTTTTTAATTTTGAAAATGTCCCATGTTTGCTATTTTCGAAAAAGCGGAAAATTGCGAAAATGGGACCAGCACCATATTTTTTACCGTCTCATATGAGGAGAAAATTTAAAGAAAAAAATTGGAGCTGTTTTTGTGATCAATTTTTTAGAAATTGCAAAATTAAGAGTAAAGGCCTTCGCGACTTCTCCTTTCTTAAGCGCTCCTGCTCAAGGTACTTGGAGTAGACATCGATAGCAGTCGAAATGTATCGCATGCCCCAATTCGATTTCGTGAACGGCTGCATGTTCACCAATCCGCCTGCCATAGGTCATCGAACCCTTTCGTAATTACACGTCGCCTACAGTAAAGACGTCGAGCTGGCACGTTTAATTTAGTCGCTAACCATTCTCGCACACTCGAATTAGCGTTCTTTTTATTCATGATTTGCCAGTTGTCTAAACAATAACACCAGCATCACGCAGTTCGTTCTATATTTCAATTATTTCTCCATCGTGTCCACTGTTTCCGGCTACTTTCGTCACGAGTAAGAGTGTTCGCATTAGCGTGTTGGGGTCAGGCCAGTATTTATAATCTGGAGGGGTCACGAAACGAAGACCTTTCCACCTTCTTTTCCGATTTCAGGTTGTTGCTTTTCGTAGATTCTCCGTGATTGCTCTTAAGTTACGAGGAGTAGGAGAAAATAGTGTTGCAAATAAATTGTATTTCCACGCGTTGACGACCAGTGTGTCACGGTTCTTTCTGAATCCATCTTTGTACGCGTGCGAGAGCTGGAGAATTTTCTTCTAATCATTTGCCTTCTAGAATGGCCCATGTAAAGCGTTCTCTCACAGCTTCTCGAATGAGAACGGAAATGTGGATCGGAAACACTATCAGCGTCTTACTGGTGCGGGAGTGACCGTAGATATCGCGTTCACGACGGTTCTGTGAAATTGAATGCAGAATCGCTGCTGGTTCGTAGCGAACGTTGAAAATCTTGCAATGTTTCATTTGCTTCTTCCAGATGGGAATCATCAATGTTAAAAACGAACTGAGGAGGGAGAATTGTCGACAGCTTCTTCCTCAGTGTTCACTCCTCTACCAACACCTTTATTTCCCGGGGTAGGTAATTGTTTTTGATTTTTCGAGCCTTCTGCGAAAGCGTTCTTCATCAGGAGGTGAGATCCGTCTTAAGGAAGTCGTCGCCAGATGATCCGTAATGTCTGAGCGCTTTAAGCTCATTTCGAATAAATCACTCGAGTCTTTTCCACTTCAACTTCCAATCACTCTTGAGGATTAGTACGATGGAAGGGGAACGAAGGGAGAGACCGGTTGTGGGGAGTGCGTTCATGTCGTAACGAACTCGCTGTCTCTGTTTGTTGAAAGCGTTTCGTCATCGGATGAATAATGTCGTTTGTTTTTCCACTTTGATGAAGGTTTATTTCATCGTGCAGTCTTTGTTTTTTTCTCGCTGCTCACGACTTCTCTTTCCCCTCCTCTTCTTCTTCTTTGTCTTCGTTTTGCTTTATTAATAGCTTAGAGCCCCGGCGGGCTCAGCGAACGGAGGAGCTGTCAGTGTCTTCCCGCAGTTCAGTGAGCTTCGGAGTGATAGTGTTTGTGATTACATGATCGGCTTGTACAACGGACTTTCCCCCTGGGCTTGGTTACTTGCGACTACCTGGCAGTTGGTGACAATGAGATAGATGATCTTCTGGAAAATGGAGGGAAAATGAAACGCGAAAACAAATATAAATATTTGAATGTACTTTGTAATAAAAAAGGAAATAGCCAAGAAGAGATTGAGAGACGAATAAGTTTGGGGAGACACGTGACACGAAATATAAACTCCCTTGTAATGGGACGGTCACACGCGTCAGGTTGCAACGCGTATTTCAACATTTGATTCAATATAACGTTGCTGTAAAGAGGCCAGGAAATGTTAATTTTTTTCTACCTGCGATAGGAAGCATCAGGGACGCGGAGGCATGCAACTCTATTGTCTCGGCACATGCGCGCCCCGGCCGCATCCGCTGACTCACCGGGCAATACGGACGCCGCTGTATCATAACCCGGCAATTCCGCTACACATGTTCCTGGAACTTGAGTGACGTTTGAGTGCCAACGGAATTTGGCGGGACTCAAACGGTCATCGATGACGCCGCGACTGGGCTGGAGAAACCGCGTGACGTAGAGGTAGCCGAAACGCAGAAGCTCGGTCATTCCGATAGAGGAGGCGACAGCGAGTGAGAGTGCCTTTCCAAGGTAGAGACGCGGGCGAGCTTCTTTGGCTCACGGGGGGACGTTAGTGAATGCATCGCTGCATCGCCGCCGCCCGAATGCATCGTCGCCACATCGCGGGCCGCCTCTGGGGTGGCTAACTCCAGAACGAACGGACAATTACTCTTAAGTGCCCGACCGCGAGCCCAGGACTGACAACGAGCCGACGTGCGAGCACAACCATAATGTGTTATTTTTTCCCAACTGTTTCATTGAACTAAACTTGATAGTAGATCTGAAACTGTACATATTTATTTCATAAATTTTGAAATTGCTGGCATTTATTATAAATGAATAATTTAAGCTAAATTCTACGAGCAAATATTAGTACCTTACCATTTCTGTAATGAGTCAAGCTTCACTTGATACAAGTCGTTTTGTATGTTGGCGAAACATACCCTATCAGATCTATAATCAGAGCAATTTTATGTGAAATCTGATTGTGCGCAAGGAAATGTTGCGTAAGATTGGCCAAGCTGTTTGTGTGCGATCTACCGAGACGCACGTAGGCGTCCCCCCCCCGCGCCTCCCCTGGTGTTTACAACCGCCAGCCGCCCTGGGCCGCCGAAGGGAAGGGCCTCGCCCAAAGGGCTCGTGTTCTCACACCTGCCCGAGCCCCCTTTTCCCCGACGCCTCCTGTTTCAGACAGGCATGGTCTGCCACATAAGAAATATATCCAGAGCTGATCAATTGTGTTTAATGCCGATGGAGTATACGCAGAAAGCCGCGCCGAGGCAGAACCTGCAGCTGCGCAACGGCGGCCCAGTATAATGTGTTTAGATCAGAGGAAAAGTTCCAGAAACGCTCGACCAGCGATTGGTGAGGAGTATAGAAAGTATTCCAGTGTCACAAGACAGTCGAGGCGGCGGTTTCGTCATCCGCTCGTGATGGTGACTCGAATGGCCAACGGTCAGGGCGCTTGAACAAGGGCCGACCGATAACAAGGTCGCAGGTCGGTCCACCCTGCCGCATGAGTAGGCCCGGCGGTCGCAAGCGGGGCGAGCGCCCAGGCGTCAAGGGTCAACCGATAACAGGGTGGCTCGACTGCTGCACGCCACGTGACAGTCAATCAGACGCCGCCCGATAAATGCGTGGTACGCGAAGGCTCGGGGCTTACTCGCTCTCCAGTTGGGGAGGAGGACTGGTGCACGCTTGGGAACTGCACTGTGGTCATTTGGAGGACTTAAACATTTTCCTTCATTAAAGAGCTTTTGAGAGTGTAACTCGTCGAGTTTTTGTCCAAGTAGGCAAACTCCAGAGCACCCACATCTCTCGGCAATTCTCGCGTCTCAGCTGTCCGAGGACGGTTCGGGACAGAGTAGGCATTTCGGTCACTAAAATGGGGACTTTCATCGTAACCTGCAGAACACATAGGAAAATTTCTTCCGTCAGTTCAGTTTGTACTTAAATTTGAAGTGGTTGTTCCCGAGGAACGCCAGTCTGGCGTGTATGTTATATTTTCACGTCTCATTACGTAATAACTATTTAACCAAAATTAAATCAAACGGGCCGAAAAGTTCAAGTCATGAATTTATTCCCGACTTCCCTGAATTTATCTGAGTCTGCCGCTACAATCAAAGACTTCCACTTGCACTTAAGGCTAAATGCATCGACACTAGTTCATTTCGTCGCCACCACGTAGCAGCACCAAAATAAGCCAAAATCACTTTACTAATAACGTCTGAACAAGTGGTCCGATCTGCAATCAGTAAACGGCATGTGATTCGTATTTAATATAGAATTTACGCTACAAAGCCTCTTTGAAAAAAAATTGGAAAATGAGTTTTGGAAATTGTTTTGGGGATAGTTCTGGGAAAAAACTTTAAAAAATGTGGGCTTACAGCGCGATGGCGAATCCTGAATCCAACACCGTATCAATTGTCCAGATCGACTGAATAGGCGCTGAATAGTCGTAAAGTGAAATTTGGCAAAATACAATGCCCCCCTCCCCTTTCCGGAGCCGCCAACGCCCCCGTGCGTGTGAGCGCCGGCTCCGAGAGGAACAGAAGCATTCCGTGAGAGGTAGAAAATTCATGTTCGCCCGCTAGTACAACATCAGCGGCCACCCCTACACCACCTTAGTTCTAAAGCAATATTTCACAACGGCGCCGCGGATGCCCGAAAACAAGGAAATGAAGGGACTGACTCACATCGACTGAACCAGGGAGCTTCGGGGTTCGCAATGACGAACAAGGAA